AGCAAATACTCACCAGCAACTACACACCACACCACAGAAACACCAACCCAGGATCCAATCCCTGTAGCAAACCTCGTTGCCTACTCTGTCCCCATATCTACTCTGGCAACAGCATCAGAGGACCCAACCACATCAGCCACACCATCAAGGGCTCATTCACCTGCACATCCACTAATGTTATATATGCCATCGTGTGCCAGCAATGCCCCTCTGCCATGTACATTGGCCAAACCGGACAGTCCCTCCGCAAAAGAATAAATGGACAGAAATCGGACATCAGGAATGGTAACATACATAAGCCAGTAGGTGAACACTTCAATCTCCCTGGTCATTCTATTACAGATTTAAAAGTCACTATCACTGAACAAAAAAAACTTCAGAAACAGACTTCAAAGAGAAACAGCAGAACTAAAATTCATTTGCAAATTCAACACCATTAATCTGGGCTTGAATAGGGACTGGGAGTGGCTGGCTCATTACAGAAGCAGCTTTTCCTCTCCTGGAATTCAGAGTAGCAGCCGGGTTAGTCTGTATGTGCAAAAAGAACAGGAGTACTTGTGGCAAATTTGTTAGTCTCTAAGGTGCCACAAGTACTCCTGTTCTTTCTCCTGGAATTGACACCTCATCTATTATTGGGAGTGGACTACATCCACCCTGATTGAATTGGTCCTGTCAACACTGGTTCTCCACTTGTGAGGTAACTCCCTGCTCTCCATGGGTCAGTATATAATGCCTGCATCTGGAACTTTCACTCTATGCATCTGAAGAAGTGGGCTGTAGTCCACGAAAGCTTATGCTCTAATAAATTTGTTAGTCTCTAAGGTGCCACAAGTACTCCTGTCCTTAACATGAGTATTCGAGAGGACTGCATACCTCACTATCTGTAAAGAGCCTAAGGATTGTTTGTATGTGCATCCCAAGAACAGGATTCTTGAAAATATGGGTCATCTTTCAGATCCCAATGCAAGTCAAAGCAGTTCTTCGCCCACGTCCGGCACCTCCTGGCTCTAGCATGCCAGCAGTAGGCATTCATCTACTGCTGGATCAAAGCAACATACACCCACCAAGACAGACCTGTTGTGAATAACCCACATGAGTGGCTATTAACATAATGGTACGTTATGCTGTTAAACATTCCAGGTGGCGTTCAGGATTTCGAAAGGAGCGTGTAAGGCCTTGGTTATATACAAGTTGCACTTTTTCCACAAGAGAAGTCTTAAACTGATTTTTTTAAACTACACAAATACCAGAGTTTAAGTAAATCAGCAAATCACTTCTTCACTGACTTCAGTCGATCAAAACGAGCCATGTTTGCATCCATCTAAAAAAAGTGTTCACAATTTCAGAGATTTCATAACGGAGTTTAGTTAAATTGGTGCAGTTTGCAATATAGAGAAGGCCAAAGATTCCTTTGCTCTTAACTCTTATATTAGAAATGAGACTTGCCACCCCCACCCAGCCCTGCCAGGCACACACATCTCCAAAGGCTATCAAAAAAACTGACTTGCAGCCATGAGCAATAGATTACAGTTTGATGCTCTATCGCTTGTGAGTCACTCGGGAGATCACAGGTAAGATACAGTGCCAATGGGCTCTCAAGTGAGCCCCAGGCAGTCAAGTTTAGTCCCATTAAGAACTGCTTGGAACAGTCTCCCTAGGGAAGTGGTGGAAGGGCCATCAGGTAGGCCATTTAAAACAAGACCGGACAAGGTACAGACTCCTACTACAAGGAACAATCCTGCCCTAACCTCCATGGGACAGGCTAGATGAGATCTTAGCTTAGAGGGCTTCCAGTGGGAAGCCAGAAGAGGGAAGGGAGGGAAAGGATTCAAGGTGAAAACACACATAAGAGCACAAAATTAATGCTGATGTCACAACAAAGGTCATTTTGCAGCAAGACAGCTGCCACCATGAGCAGGGGGCTCTGGGTACCCATTGTAGTTAGAAACTTGATTTTCAATTATACTGCAGTGGATGGTTGGCCAGTCCACCTATGGGCCAATTATAGTTGTGAGTCCAGCCATTCTTTTGCTACCCTGCTCAAACTCATCATCCACAAGTCCACAAAGAGCTGGACTGATTCCCTCTGCTGCTGCTCCTTGCTCTGAGCCTCTCCTCCACCAAAGAGACCCCACACCCCTCTCTTCTTTGTAATCTTTCCCCACTGTTGCAGTCTGGTATTGAGATGCTCAATACCATCCCCAGCTGGAACATTAGCTCTTATTTAAAAGCTAAAAGGAAGTGCCATGAATCTTCTGACTCTGGAAGAGTAAGAGGTTACTGTAGGGGAGCGGACCACAAAGCAATCCTCAGCAGGCTGGCTGCCATGTATCCTGGTAGCCGTTCTTGGAGCAAGGGGGACAATCTGAGCATGGGGGGAAATGAAAGAGGAACAGTATACAGTAAGGACAGGAGTTCCACTTCAGAACAGCCTCAGATTCCCAAGCAAGAGAGCCATACCTTGAGCTAAACAAAATCAAGACCCAGGTCTTTGATAGCCTGGAATATAGCGATTACCTCCTACACAGGGTGCATGCATGAGTTGCCCAGTTTTCTGGTTTTAGACGCAGTGAGATATTGGAGCAAAACAGCTAGGTGTTCTTCAGCTCTGCTCTTCCTTGCTAAGGTGTCCACACCAGCAGAGCTCAGAACAACCCAACATCATTGGAATTGCCTTTGCTTCTCTCCATTACGCTATGTCCCTGAAAAGAGGACTTTCCCCTCCCCTCTCAGAAGCTAGTCACAGTCAGTGACACAAACGAGGAGTCCTGCCAGCTAACAGGGAGCGTGGCACCTGAACTGTACAATACCCTTGTTGGAAGTGCCTGTTTTTGTGTAGATCTCTACCAGATTCAAGCTAGGTTTCTTAGCCTGACTTCCCCCCAAAACAGAGCGGACAGAGTCATCTGGCACTTACTTTTCACCCGCGACTCCATCATGCTCCTCGTTTTGAGCTTTTCTGCCCACAGAGGGCAGTTTGCAGCTTCTTGCTCCTTCTCAAACCGGGAAGTTCCTGGGGAACCTATTTTGGCAGTCTGCCTTTGCTCCTTTAGAGAGCAGTTTCTGTTTTAAGAGTCTCTTGGACTAGAGGTTTGTAAGTCAGGAGCGTTGCACACCATGAAGCGGAGGAGAGGATATTAGTCCAGCCACAGGGAAGCAAGACATCAATTTCTTCAGTTTCTTGTGGCCAGCTAACAATCTCCAGCTGCCTGATCTCTCCAGGTTTCTGAACCTCTGGCAGTTTCCTGATGGTGGGGAATCAATGCACTCTCCAATGCGATCATAGCTCCAAATGAAAAGCCTTTAGAGAGAGTGAGGCCACATATACTCCCTCCGAAGTACTGTTCCCTAGAGCTTCTTCCTTCTTCTAGGCCTGAAAAGACAGAGACATTTCACAACATGACTTACAACATGCATTTGTTTACCTACAACATTCAGTACTGCGTGTTCCCATCTAGCAACTGCTTCTGTGCCATGGTTTCCAGGGTCCCAGCATTTCTTTTTCTGGCCAGTGATAACGGGCCTGTCCCCTATCAGAAGGAAACTCTTGCCAGCCAGTATGACTGCAGAAAGCATGACCGTTTCAAAGGGGTCTAGGTTGTACTCATTTAAGCGACCTGCCTCTGAAGGAACCATGAGGATGGAAGTGACAGACATCAGCAGTCCAGAGTGTCCCAAGCCCCTGTCCAGGGGAAGTTTTCCTTTAACTAGAACAGATTTGCTCTGCTTGTATGCTGTAAGTGGCAACAGCAATGCTTAAAACAAGTTTAAGATACATAAGTGGAGAATCAAAGTCTATACTATATACAAAGGCAAGCCTAAAGTAGCAGGGTGTATATATACACACATAGGTGCCACAGCACATTCATTGTTTCTAAAGATACATATTGTAGCTTTGATCCTCTCTCTTCAACTAGGTCAGAACAAAATACCAGCCACGTTCACGCTGAAGCCTCCTTAACCATCAAGGAACTGTTAGTGTTTCTAAAACACAGAATCATAGAAGATTAGGGTTGGAAGAGACCTCAGGAGGTATCTAGTCCAATCCCCTGCTCAAAGCAGGGCCAACACCAACTAAATCAACCCAGCCAGGGCTTTGTCAAGCCGGGCCTTAAAAACCTCTAAGGAAGGAGATTCCACCACCTCCCTAGGTAACCCATTCCAGTGCTTCACCACCCTCCTAGTGAAATAGTGTTTCCTAATATCCAACCTAGACCTCCCCCACTGCAACTCGAGACCATTGCTTCTTGTTCGGTCATCTACCACCACTGAGAACAGCCAAGCTCCATCCTCTTTGGAACTCCGCCTTCACGTAGTTGAAGGCTGCTATCAAATCCCCCCTCACTCTTCTCTTCTGCAGACTAAATAACCAAAGTTCCCTCAGCCATTGGCTTGCTATTTCTCTACCACCACCACTACCACCACTACACGTGTCCTACTAGGTGTATCTCTAGTGAGCAAAGCACCCACAGCTTCTCTCCTATCCCAGGGCATGCTAAAGAATTGATTCCTCTCCCCACCTCTGTATAGTGATGCTCATCTCAGTGCAGATAATCTGGTCATGAAGGAAACAGCAGCACAGGAGAGTGTCTGCAATCTCACTTGTTGTTTAGGAAGTGGAAGTTTAACATTCACTAGTTTACTGCCTAGGGCAACTTATCTATTTTGGCATTTCGAAACATCAAGCAAAACACCTTCCCCCCACACGGGGTGTTTTACATCCGCTAATGTGCCACATCATCAGAATAATCAAATCACACAAGGGCCTTTGCATTTGTTTTACACATGACCTATTAGTCCTCACAGTCCCCAGTTATTAGGCCTGTTTTAAGATGTGGCCAAGAGGGGCAGTGACCTGGCCAAGGGATCACAGCAAGTCTGTGGCAGAGCTGGAGCACCTTGCCCTCTGCTCAGTTCACTAACCCACTAATTCACAAGAGCGGCTCCTCCATCTGCCTCTAGTAACAGTGCACACCACTAAGCAGGGGACCGACGCTGGAGCCAGCACTCATTCACCTGCTTCCTGAGGAGCGTCAGCCTAGACACTGCTCAGGAGGTAGGAATCTGGCCACTGCAACCCATGCTGGTGAAGGCAGAGGAATGAATCTAAAAGGAGCACAAAAATGCTGCAGAGTCCCTGCTGCAGGGATGAATCCAGATGCTCCTGATACAGCACAAAGCTGGTACTCATGCGAGAGCCATCAAGCCTTAAGAAAAATGGAACAAACAGAGAAAGTCCAGCCCAGCGTGAAGCCATGGTGCGAAAGCCTTCGAGACTCAGTGCACCAGACTAGGTCTGGCCACCCTGCAAGCCAGAGGGCGCAGCTGCAAGCCAGAG